CAGCTTCCCCAGCTGCTCCGCTAGTCCTGCCAGCGAGACCAGCGGCGCTTTGCTCAAAATCCACCCTTCACCCCAGGATCCAGCTGCCCTGGGTCTCTCCTCACCCTGCGGGGCTCCGGCTGCTTCCCCACACGCGCAGAGCAGGGAGGCCTCCACAGGACACGCAGCGTTGGGTGAGGAAGCCCAGTTCCAAAACGCAGCCGGCTGTGGGCGCGGGGACAGCAGCACTTGTCGCTGACGAGAAAGCTGGTCCAAAGCAGGGGCTTGCTGGCTGTCCTGGAAGCACCAGCGCGACCACAGAGGCGGGAGGTGGAGGAGACCCTGGCTGGGCTCAGAGCTCCTCGTGCCCAGCAGCAGCGTGGTCAATGAGGAGGTACCACTTCAGCCTGTCTGGCAGAGGTAGGGCCTTGATTTTGACATCCACCGGCCACGGCTTAAGGCGCTGCCGGATGAACACGCGGCAGAGATGTTTCAGCCCCTGGGGAGAACGCTCCAGCTGCTTCAATGAGCAAAACAGGGTCCTGATCTTCTCCCCGTGATACCTGCAGCTGCTGGTGTTCACCTCAAAGTCAGCGGGCAGCCGGACGGCTTGTGAACTGGCCATCATGAGCTCCAGCAGAACCTGAGCCTTCTGGATGAGCTCTGTGCAGAAGCTGTCATCTTCAGAGACACTGAGGTGAGAGCAGAGGCACTCGAAGACGATGTGGAAGCCTGACCAGCACGAGGGGCCGTGCAGGGAGCAGTTGTAGGCGGCGCCCGACTCCAGCAGGAACCGCAGCAGCCGAAAGTGGCGCTTGAAGCTTTTGAAGCAGAGGTGGGTGAGGGACTCGGGGGCCGGGCACTCGCTGGGGTCAGCACCGTGGGCCAGCAGCAGCTGGGTGACGCGGAAGCAGAAGCGATTGATCACCTGCGCCTCCTCCGCGCTGCTGCACACCGTCTCCCCCAGCAGGAAAATGATGTAGGTGAAGACAGTGTCACCGTCTTTGGTGGTGGCCCTCACATCCGCGCCTGAAGGGACAGAGATGTGGCCAGGCTTTAGGAGAAAGGAGGACGCAGCTGCACCGCGCACAGCGCAGGAGCTCGGCCACACAGCTTCGTGCTGGCAGAGGAGCATCCCAAACCAAAGCACCGGCCCTCACAGGGCATCCTCCCAAGCACTGCTCTCTGCCACCCAGCTGCTCCAACAGCACAGAAACCACCCAAAAGTTCCTGTCTGGACACAACTGTTTCCTCTATGGCACGAAGACCCAATACATGTTCCATAAGGTGCCAGGCTGTAAGTGATGAATCGTCCTTGGAGCCTCCTTTGGAAAGGGTACAGCAAAGGTGGCCAGGACAGCACTAACCATGGCACCACCAGGCTTTACTCTTGCCCAAGAGGGATCATAGAGAAGCTGGTAGGGCAGTGCCAGGTGCTGTACAAAGAATCAGCTGGCTCTGGGCCTGGAGGAGTCACAGGTTGAGGGGGTAGAAGGTTTTTCTCACCTCCTTCCAGGAGGAGACGGATGCTCTCGGTGTTGTGGATCTGGACTCCATCACTGCTGGCCAGGGCATGCAACAACGCTGTCTTTCCTGCAATGGAGCAATCAGTCAGCGCAGGGAAAACAGCACCTGAGCTCAAGAGAAACACCCGCTCCAAAAAGCAGGGGGGAACGGAGCCCACCCACCAACCAGATGGTTAAACACAGGGACAGAAGCAGCTCTCCCTGCCGCAGGCTCCCACTGGCCCCACACTGCTACCCAGCTGCAAGGATAGGGAGACGGGCCACACATGCAGGGCTGGTGGTGGCACCAGAGGACACACAAGCAGTGACAGGCACCACAAGGCGATGGTGACACAGCCCCATCCCAGAGCACAGGACACAGGCTGTTCCCAACAGCCTGGGAAGAGCAGGGTGGGTGTCAACCTCCTCCTGCACCAAACAGAGCCAAGACCAAGGAGAAAACAGGACGTCAGAGCGTTTGCAACCTGCACCCAACTTCCAAAATAGTTGATGCCCAAGAAGTGTCTGCGGCAGCGAGGGCCCCGGGGCAGCGCCCCGCTCGGCACGCTGCGCAGCCGGGCGCACACGCACCGTTCTTGTCGGCTGCGTTGACGTCGGCCCCCAGCTGGAGGAGCCGCTGCAGGCAGGGCAGCCGCTCGGGCTCCTCGCTGGCCAGGTCCAGGGGGCTGCTCTCGTGGATCTGCACAGAGCAAGAGGGAAATAGGTTAATTACTACTGAAGATCATCTGGGAGCTCCTCTGGCAAGACACTACTTCACTACAGGCAATGCAGAGAGCGTAATTCACCACCCCATAACCAAGTGGATTTTCCACTTGGTGTGTGCCAGGGTGCCACCACTCTGTGGCACAAGCAGGTCTGCTCAGCCAAAACTGTGACCCTCTGCCATGGAAACGACATCCACGAGGCCCTGGACATGGGGAGCAGCGGCCCCAGCAAAGTCTCAATAGACTCGCTGTGGCCACGGCCCGGCACCAAGCCCCTACCCGGTCTCTGCGGTTGATGTCGGCCCCGTGGCGCACCAGGAGCTCCACCATGTCCGGCTGGTTGCGGAGCACAGCGATGTGCAGGGGGGTGTAGTAGGTCACTGGATCTGGGGACACGAAAACATATTGTCAGAGGAAACCAAGGGCCCTCCTCGGAGCGGCTGCAGTATCTTGCAAAAGGCAATAAACAGGACAGGGGGAGACACCGAAAAAACAGGAGCAGGGCTGTTATCAGCAGCCCAGAGGCTCCTTTTGCAACAGCTCCACCCAGCTGGAAGTCCCAGTGCAGCCTGGGGCCCTGGCCGCAGGCAGGGGACGGAGCAGACACCCTCCAGCCCCGCGTGAGAGGCGACAGGACCTCTACATCCCAGGAAAACATCTCAGTCCCAGCAGCCAGGCAGTCTCCCTGCCGGATGCCACCCCTCAGCCAAGGGAGGGGACTTCGGCAACGGCAGCGGTGACCGCTCGGCGTCACTTTACCTTCAAAGCTGAGCTCGGCGCCGAACTCCAGGAGGATTTCTGCCGCGGGGACGAGCCCCAGCTCGGCGACCTTGAGCAGGGCGTAGCTCACGCCCTCCTGGTAGAACGGGGAATGCGTCTCCCTCTCCAAGACCCGTCTCACGGCGCACAGGCAGCTCCTGTCACCGCCCAGACAGGCGGCGCTGGGGACACAGAGAAGCGGCCGGTTACTCAGCCGAACGGGGCTCCCCTCCGCCGTGATCACAGGGTCGGGGCAGCGCCAGGGAGGAAGAAGGAGCCCGGGTGCCTCCTCGTGTTCCGTAACGCCCCGTCCCTGCCCGTGTCACCTCTGCAGGGCGCTCTGCCGCTCCGCAGCCCCCGGCAGCTCCAGCAGCGCCAGGATCTCGTCGACGAGGGGCTGGTACTCGAAGATGATCCTGCGGAAGCCGTGCAGGAAGGGCATGGTGCTCCGCGGCGCGCGCCCGCCGCCCGGGCGCCTCCAGCATGGCAGGGGCCTCCTGTGCCCCCCGGTCCCCGCGGGGCTTGGCCTCCTTCAAGGACAGAGCGGCCTCCGTGGCGCGGGCCGCCC